GGTTTTTCCTACTTTCTTCAGTTTAAGCTTGATTTCTGCTATAAGAAGCTGATGATCAGAGTCACAATCAGCTCCCAGTCTTGTTTTTGCTGACTGAATAGAGTTTCTCCAACTTTGGCAGATAACATAATCAATCTGATTTCAGTATTGCCCATCCGGTGATGTCCATATGTAGAGTCGCCTCTTGTGTTGTTGGAAAAGAGTGTTTGTGATGACCAGCTGGTTCTCTTGACAAATTTCTATTAGCCTTTGCCCTGCTTTGTTTTGAACTCCAATGCCAAAGTTTTTGCTGACTGAATAGAGTTTCTCCAACTTTGGCAGATAACATAATCAATCTGATTTCAGTATTGCCCATCCGGTGATGTCCATATGTAGAGTCGCCTCTTGTGTTGTTGGAAAAGAGTGTTTGTGATGACCAGCTGGTTCTCTTGACAAATTTCTATTAGCCTTTGCCCTGCTTTGTTTTGAACTCCAATGCCAAACTTCCCTGTTGTTCCTTTTATCTCTTGACTCCCTACTTTAGCATTCCGGACCCCAATAATGACAAGAACATCTTTCTTTGGCATCAGTTCTAGAAGATGTTGTAAGTCTTCATAGAACTGGTCAATTTCAGCCTCTTCAGCATTGGTGGTTGGTGCATAAACTTAGATTACTGTGATGTTCAAAAGTCTGCCTTGGATTCGTATTGAAATCATTCTATTATTTTTGAGACTGCATCTCAGTACAGCTTTTCCCAGTCTTTTGTTGACTATGAGGACTACTCCATTTCTTCAACTGCAAAGATATTTGAGTGGCTTGCCAGTTTCTGTTCCAAGTGGACTGCATCTAGTCAGAACTCTCCACTATGACCTGTCCGTCGTGGGTGTCCCTGCACGGCATAGCCCATAGCTTCTCTGAATTACTCAAGCCCCTTCGCCACGACAAGGCAGCAATCCGTGAAGGGGATAAAAAGGAATAAGGCACATTAAAAGCCACATATTTAAAAGCAGCAAGGTACAAACAAAGAATCCCACTTTTAAAAACCCTTCTCAGACATCCAGTCATTAAGGACTGTCTGAAGGGAAAGTTCTGTTCCTGCTTATGGAAGGACAGCAAAGACAGGGCCAGCCTGGTCTCTCTGGGAAGGAGCTCCAGAGTCTAGGGGCAGCAACAGATAAGGTCTTCCCTGGTGTCTCCACCAAAAGCACCTGTGAGGGCAGAGGGATTGAGAGAAAGACTTCCCTTGATGATCTTAAAACCCAGGTAGGCTCATAAAGTGAGATGCAGTCTTTGAGGCAGTTTAGACCCAAGCCATTTAGGACTTCATAGGTTTAAACCAGCACTGTGAATTGTGCCCGGAAATTGAAAGTTTCCCTGGTCCACTGGGTCTACTCTACCTGGGCTCAGGTCACTTAGTCTTTGAAGGGATCTTGCAGGTTATCAAGTTTGACTAATTTAAAATTATTACTCCAACTAATCCAAAAATACCCTATAAGTCAATCAGACAGACAGACAGACATGCTAAATATATTCATTTCTTTCACCCTTTTCCCATAAGACTCTTTACACACCATTGTGCTCTTCACTGTCTTCCTTTATACATCACTGCATACATTGTTCATAAAGTGTGGCTCCTTAAAATGGCCCCAAACTATTAATACTCATTTTCCACTTGTGCATTTTATTTACTTATTCATGCCTCTCCAGGCAGGCTTTCAACAACGATGATGCTAGTTTTAGGGGTCTTTTTCTGTGCCTTTTAAAAATTTTAATGTATTTTAATTAATTAATTAATTAATATATTTGCAAGTACTTAACTATACATTTTAATCTGAAATTTATTGTGCTTTTAGCATTAGTTGTTTTCACATTGTGAGCCTTCTTTGGTCTCCTCCCCAGGAGAAACATAGCCTACAAATGATGTTAAACAAAGACATTACAGATCTGAGCATATGTTTGTGCAAAGTTCCATTCAGTTGATTTCAGATCAGTTAGCAAGCTTATTTTTTAAAATTTCACTATTTTTGCTCTTCTGACATACTTATGCTCCTCCTAGTTTTGTGTCATCAGAAAACTTGACAAAAAGTTTTTCTATCTCACTATCTACATTAACGATGAGGAAACATGGGGCCTTCCAGATGTTGATAGACAGCAACTTCCATCAGTCCAGGTCATGGTCAAGGAGGATGACTGCAGCCTAATATCTGCAAGGCCACATGTTCCCCATCTCTGATTTAAGTAACTAGTACAAAAATACTGAAAAACACCTGGTCCAAAACAGTCCTGTAGCTTGTAATTAAAAAGTTTCCTTGAGCTTAATAAGGATCTACAGATGATGACTGCACAAATACTCATTTTCTAACCAGCGGTGTCCACTTTACATTACTGTCATTCAGTAAGTCTTTAACTAGTTACTCAAAATGTAATTCCATACATCAGTCTTTGCAACAATCCTGTCAAGTCAGCTATAATGAGGAGAGGGGAAATTAAAGGCAAGAGAAAGTATCTTTCCTATGTTTCAGAGATTAAAAGTGGGAGCTTACTAGATCATTGTTTATATTCTTAACCACTGTGCTTTGCCAGTTCTAGAACGGAACATAAAAATGGTGGAATTACAATGCTCTGCAACAATAAAACAAAACAACAAATTCAAAGTCCTGGCACACACCTGTTATAGGTATTTGAGGAAGAAGAGAACCTTTTATCAGAACTCTTGACTTGGAACCTTTTCTAGATCCATGAGAACATCAAAACTCCACAATACTACCTTAACACAATGTTATTAAGTTGTCACCGATATTCCAGTTCCATAGATGCGCATAACATGTAAAAACAGTAGCAGAAAAGGCATTAAACCTGCAATCCAAGAAACCAGATACAAGGAAGTAAGTACTACTGAACCCATTGGGACTTTCTTCTGAGGTTGTCCTACACACAATACCAAAAGTAAACTCCACATAGGCAACTGCACGATGGCCACACAGTCTGTTTCCACACACATGTCTGTCCCAATGTAAGCCCCATGAGGGTGATGACATCCTAGTCTGATGGTACAGCTTTTATCACACTGCCACTGAATCCTGAGATCATCATCATCATCTTAGAACTGCAGGGCTGGAAGGGACCTTATGGATCATGGAGTCCAGCCCCTGTCAAGAAAGCACAATGGGGAATTAGACTCCCAATCTCTGGCTCCGCAGCCAGGTGCCTAAACCACTGAGCTATCCTTCAAAGCAGACAATGTGCATTCAGGGAACATGGCCCACAGGTTACAGTGTCTTGTGGATCTTTGCCTTCCCTCTAAGCACAACTCCCAGATCAAGGCGCACAGGGCTGAAACTTTTCGGATGCAAACGTTCCGGAAGCAACATCTCCCAACCAAAAGCTGTGGCACAGAACACCCAAGTGGAAATAGACAGAGAAAAATCCGGGACCTTTCCAAAAGGCTTGTCCCGGTCGGAGTCCAACCCTGTTTATCCCGCACTACTTCCATCTCTACGTGCGTGAAAGGAAACAGCCTCCGGCCAGATGCAGGGGTCTGGATGCGCTCTGTACATGTCCAGGGGGGGGGGAAGGAGAAGGGGAGAGACGGTGCCCATCCTTTTTCTCCTCTCTGTGTCCAAACCCAGCTTTCCGTTTCCCGATCAAGCCTGCGGGGGGGCTTCCCCCTCCTGCTTCTACCCTCGCTTCCCGAGCGCCTAGTTCTCTCCCAGGGAGGGCCTGGAAGAGTCAACCGCCCCCCCTCTCCCCTCGGCGATTGAGGAGGAGGGGGCCACACAGTCCAGGTGGTGGCGGGGGGACTCGGCGCGCATGCACGAGGCAACACCGTCTCCCTCCCCGCGCGCGCGCGCGGACACGAGCGGCTCCGCTGCTGGGTCTCCAAGCCCCGGCTCGGTGCGATGGAGAAGCGGCGCTCGCTGAGGAGCCTGGGCTCTTCAGGCTACCGAGAAGCAGACGCCGCCACCCCACCGAGAGGTCGCCCGGCGAAGTCGAGATGGAGAAGGCAGGCGGGTAGGGGGCGGGCGGACGGG